CACACACACACACACACACACACACACACACGTTTCCTCTCAGCACCAAGGAATTCTCCAATTTTCGCCCCCTCGCTTCTAGTTTAAAAATAAATAAATAATATTAAGCAGATAAAACAAAAGGTATGGTTCAGAAGGAAGAAGAAAGTACAGACCAGCCCTGACAAAAAAACGAAACGACGCCACAAGCCTCTCTGTGATGCATGGAGGCAAACAATGGGATCGACAGTGGTGCGGCGAGGCCCTGAGTCGCGATGAGAAGAACGAAAAATTCTGACTTACCTGCGGCGAGTCAGTTCAATCACGATATCTCAGTGCCCTTTTCTTTTTGTTTAGAAGAAGAAAAAAAGACAAAAATTCAGGGGAGAAAAAAAAAGCCTAAACGATGCACCTTTGTTTTTTTAAAAAAAAAAGGGCGACGGCCTTGATATATTATCATTGAGCTGACAGGCCCCGGGCGATTCAGAAATATTCGGTTTTACTCATCATGTTCCATCATCTGGATGCGAACACAGGTCTGTATGTTTCAACAGTTCATGGGTGAACCCACTGAGGCTCTTGGGTGCACCTTCCATTTTTGACTAATGAGCCTGCCAATAGAAATGAACGAGTCCAACAAAAGGTTAAGAGTGCAGGGAAAAAAAAAGGAAAAAAAAACAAAAAGAGAAGTTCGGGCTAACGGATGGACTAATCACTCGATGGCTTCCCTTGCCAGTAGAAGAGATCATGTAGCTTTTTTGCGATAAACATGAGTGATATAGGGCGTCGTTGCACTACTCTCCGAATGTGCAAAATGAGAATGAGAGAATCTTCGCGAGAACGTGGAAAGATAACCGCCATCTTTTTTGGCTTTTGCGCATATGGAGAATTATAGCGCAGCGAGGCCCATGATGTACAATAGCACGTCGATGAACAGAATCTTCAAGAGGGCTCTAGTACTTTTCCACTTTCCTCTTTCTCGCTTCCTCGCTTCCTCGCTTCCTCGCCTGTCATGGTTCCACAGTTGATCAAATCCATTCATCAAACTCTTGAGACCGACGACCACAACTCAAAAAATGCCACAAAGGGCCTCGACACAGCACTGTCGAAACGTAAAGAGAAACGTAAAGAGTTAAAAGAGAAACGTTTCTTTCCGCAGAAATCGGTAAGATGCATCCGTTGCCATTGATAGTAATGGCTGCATCTTGCCCTTCTCTGCGGGAAGATGCATTCTTTCGTTTTTCGTTTCGACAGTGGGGTCGGGAGGCCCAAAGTTGGCCACGACAACAACGCCTGAGAAAGAATCGCTCATGGCTCACATAACGAAGCTCCTGCTCAAGGTTCACACGACAGCGAAGCTCGACTGACCCGCAAGAGGCTTGAAGATAGTCCGAGACTATTCATCTATAATTTCATCGTCAACAAAAATTACGAATCTGTGACAGTGACATCAGTAATAAGCAGAGAATGTGAGAAGAAAAGGAAATGGCGTCACAAAGACTTCTGCCACTCCGAGTCTATCTTGATGCCATAACAGCCGCAGATCTCAAAACTGAGGAGTACCACCACCGGGGGCTGATGAGATTGCCGGCCCCTAACTAGGATATTGTGACTGTGAAGCTAACCCACGGTAGTAGCCAAGTGAAAGCGTAAAAAGAGGGAGCTGAAGGAGCACCCAATGGCCATAAGGAAACGTTAAAAGTGAACATAAACGTAATTATAAACATGCGTTCCCTTTTTTCTTGGGACAAACTGCTGAAAAAAAACGACTCTGCCGTTGGTTGAGATTGCGGTAGACCTGATTACAACAGCCAACGACCGAAGATAAAGAAGATGAAGATCGTCATCGGTCTTCAGGAACTCATTCTTAGTCCGTGCTTGTATGCATAGCCGGCATGCAAAGCCGTTTTGACTGGATCCCTCTCAAACCACGTCCTTAATATACACACACTCTAATCAATTGGCACACGGATTCATTGTTTGATCTACTCGAGCGAACCCCGCCGTGCATGATCCGATCGCTATTTTCTCCAATCACTTCCTTGCCCGGCGATTGCCAATCTTTCTCGAACTCAAATCACTTGTTATCCACCGTTTCACGCTGCTTGAGCTGCTGAGCAAATTGCTTGCTAAAAAGCGCGCTCAAGACTCCCTTCCGGCGAGTGAGAGACAGCAGGACAAGCCTCAGCAGCTGCTTGCAGAGACTCGCACACAATGCATACACGCATCAGAGAATTCAAAATCAACAAACAACAAACACCGTCAGCAGCAAGCAAAGCGCCAAGTAAGGCCGTGTGGCTCGTAGGTAGCAACCTCAAGATTGTGGACTTCCTGTAAGAGATTCATCAATCATCATATCTTTTATCTTTTATCTTTGATCTTTTATCTTTTATCTTTGATCTTTTATCTTTGATCTTTGATCTTTTATCTTCAATCTCATCTGCCTACTAAGGTTCTAGTTAAACAAACTACTAGAACCTTCACGAGGTGGGGAACTTTGCAAGTACATGTGAAAATAGATATATCTCTTCAAGCGTGTAGATGTACACTAATAGATCAGCCATCCGATTCCATCGAGGTGTCGTAATCGTCCTACAAAACGACAAATCAAGCCTCAAAAACACATTTATCGAGACAGTCGCATAAAAAAAATGATCATTTTCCAATCAATATGTCAAAATCAGACGTGAAGGACTCCTAGTTCTATTCCCCTTAAGCCGAAAAAAGGGACGTTGCAGATTTCTGTGCTTCGTTTTCAAGCAAGATCGCCTATCTCATTTTTGAACAGTAAAAAGGCGACAGAACCGAAAAAGGAGCACCATTCTTATCAACGGATATGACAGCTCTTCAGTTTTTCAAGCGTTGCCTTTTTGCCGGATTGACAAGGCGAGAAAAAAAAAAAAAAAAAAAAAAAGGGGGCACAGCCAATAGCGCTGAGCAGTGTATACATCAGCTCTTTGGCAAAACAACAAAAAAGAAGGAAAAATAAAAAAGTTACTTTTCTGGCGTCAAGAGGATTAAAACACATATTACGCCGACCACGTGGCCGAACCGCGTACACTCATCGAGTGTTGGCAAACACAGCTGAGCTGATGAAATCTCGATAAGGAAAACGACGCTGAATTACCTGGATACGGTATTACAGTCAGTTCGATGTTTGATATCGCAAGGCCTTATTATTATGATGCATTATCTTTTTTAAAAAAGGACACAAAAGAAAAAACGCACAAAGAAATAGAAAACAAAAACGACCATTACACAGCGTCAACCACGAATGACGTTTTTTGGGCTTGTACGATCAGTCCAGTACGATCAAGTTGTACTGTATCGCACAAGCCCAAGAACTTCGGGCATGGCCGCCAATCTTGCCTTGGGATTTTTCTTTTCACTCTCTCTTGTTTTTCCCGTCCCTCCTCTTGAATCTTGTGGCCTAAGAAGAAAAAGAAAAAAAAAAACTTGTGGCCTTCGGGACATCCGTGAACATTGGAACGATACAAAGAATACTAATTAGCATGGCCCCTTCGCACGGGTGACAGACAGAAATCGAGAAATGGTCCTAATCTCGTGCGTAAAAAAATAAAAAAAAGAACCAATGAACGTAGCACAGTTGGTACCACCCATCATGAACTGCTGAAATACAGACCCAAGTTCGAAAACGGATGGGCCTAGAATTCTAGATCTATGCAAAAAAAAAATTCTAAAAAAAAAAAAAAAAAAAAAAAAAAAAAAAAAAAAAAAAAAAAAAAACCTCACCTCTTTCTTTCCAACTGTTATGCTCACTCCCGCCAAATCCGCGATATTCGTGACCTTCATATCGTTGAGAGTCTGTATGCTACGAACCGTCGAAGATTTAAACACGTGTAAGTCATCCGTTACCATGAACGATACGTTCTCCTTCACGTAACCACCTCCTCCTCCTCCTCCTCCTCCTCCCCCTCCCCCTTGAACAACGCTACAAGGGTTCTTTTGGCTGCCTCTGTGACTGGGACATCGAAACTGCGGTACTCTGGACACGTGACAGCAGATGCCTTTACTGCAGTAATGCCACGAGGAGGAAGCGGCATTCGCTTTGCCTGACCCACTCTTCGCACGTACGACTTTGCACACCAAATGATCCGTACTTATTCCGTGGTAACTACAGAGAAAGTCACTTTGGGAAGAGAAATAGACGCAAGGTCCACCACCTCCAGAGCATCGGTACAATCGGTCATTCGATCCGACGACGTCCGCGACGTATCCAATCAGCATCTGCTTAGCAGCTACAGATGGCTGAGGTTCAACGAGGTCGCTCTTGGGAGCCTGAAAGGACACCTCATCAATAGTTGTGACACTGAAGTACAAGTTCATAATCGACGGAAAGAAGGCTGAGTCCGGCTCGCTGGCGATCTTGCCTTCGATATCGCTAGAATACTTCCGTAACAAATTGAGCATCGAGCCTACCGGGAGGGCCAGTAAGGACAACAACAGGTCGACGAACGTTTTATCGGCCTCAATGTACAGAATACGGCCAGTGGAGGCACTGCCCAGAGCATTGATAACCATACGGGAGGCAGCCATAGCTGCCGTGAAGGAAGAAGAAGATGTCACCCTGGGAGCTATAGGTAGGTAGCACGGAATCTGTTCGGATGAGACTGAATAGACCTATGGACGCTACCAACTCGCAAGCGGATTATACCTACTGCACTGACGCCTGATCCCATGGGATAAGGATGTGGCGAACGAGTTAGGAGCGGACAAATGGAGGTAGGGTCGAGCAGCCGTATGCCACGAGGTCGTATCTCACGTGCTCTTGCCTTCTCCACGCGCTAACGTGGATCCGGAAATACAGATCGGGGCCTACGTCCCACTGGCAAAGAGAATTTGATTGAGCGCCTGAATCTAGACGTGTCCATGGAAAGAGGCAAAAAATCGAGATTGAATTGCTTTTCTGCACATCTTCTCAAAACACGTCCAGATTCAGGAGCTTAATCCAATCCTCTTTGCTAGTGGGACCTCGCCCCAAGTGCTTGCACACCAATTTTTTTTATTTCTATTTTTTATAAAAGCTATGTTCTTCTCTCAATTTCACCTCACACTACCTACCTACCACTACTCCGAATTGTAGGCATACGGGGAACCCCGTAGCAGCCAGAACCGTGTTCACGAGAGAACTACGGAGGCAATACACCCACGCTTTATACCTTTCTCGGCCTTTTGGCTAAGTAAGATCAAGCGTAGAATCTGTTCTGATCAGTTTAATATCTGATACGTGGTGCATCGGGACCGTCTGCATCGGGCTGGTTTGGACGGCTAGGTCGCTAGGAATGAATGTGGCTGTCTACATTATGCAAATGCAGAACTTAAGCAGTCTATAATATATATCTGGCAGAGGGCACGGCAGTACGTGCCTGACGGACCGTGGCAGGGACACTGCATAACATGCAACTGCTGTTGATAGACAGGTCATGAGTTCGAATTCTGCTGAGCACAATTATAACGTCAGGGCTAACCTGTCGTACTCTAATATCTTGTTAAGGGAAAGCTTTTGCAAGGAATTCTGCTGAGCAGGAACGACATACAGAAAGCCAAGTTGCGAAATCACACAGATGTCCAAGTAGTCGTGTACAAGCAGAGAGCACAAATGCACCGAGAATCCATCCAAATAAGAGCAATACAATGAAGTCGTGAGCCAACGTTCAAGCCCTAGGGCCACACCAACACAGTATCCAATGTAGATCCTCTTTGTCTGGCGCCCAGCGCCCAGCCTACACTACTTGCCAATCCTACCTACATCAGCATTCATGCATCAGGCTCACTTCAACTCTTGAAGACGAATGTACATGAAATCAACACCATAGCCGACCTCTCTCATGTACCAGGTACGTATCTCGTCTCCCCTCATCAGACCCTGACCACCCACACTCGCCTCCTTCCTGAAGACCACCAATCGCCCTCCTACCCCCTAGTGCCCGCAGCCCGGCTATGGCTGCTAGCACTCCGCTGCCCAGCAGCGCCCCTCTCACCTCGCAAGCGCCCGCACGCGCCCTGGCTGCTAACGCAGGATGCAGCGTCTCGCGCAGCAACGCAGCAGCGTGACCACATTGCCTGCGTGGGCCAGAATACCAGACCCTGACTGTAGTCTTCCCTATATGGAAGTGGCAGCCTCTGTTTGGCTCTGTGTGGCCTGGCTGGGAAGCTTCCAGTAGATTCCCGTCGGGCCCCAGTGCCTGCGCCCAGGCCCAGTGCTACAGTTGAAGGCCTGCGCCCTCTACAGTTGGGCACGGCCTGAGTTTTGAGACTTGGGCCGTTTGCTGCATTTGCACAGGACCCGAGGTATGTACGTCGACAATGCTGCTTTTGCGTAGGCCTGTAGCCACTTCGTTATGTATCAGCCTTGCATTGTGTGTATGTGCCCAGGCGCAACTACCAAGGTCTGGGCCAAACTGTACGACGCAGCTTAGGGAGGCGCACGCAAACATGTCAAATTTTGGCCTCTAGTGAATATTCAGGCCCGCCTTCACTTAGGGCGGGCAATTGGCTTGCTGAGGGCCTCTGCCCAGAACATGTGCATGTTTGACAAGGGCCCCGCGAGGGCTCATTTTTCGCATTCCATCCCCCTTAGCTTCCATCCCCCTTAGCTTCGAAAGTCCGCTAAGGTGCTTCATGCTGGTGCCTTCCCCTTCAATTGTCTTTCATACTCTGTCACGATCTGGGGAGCTGTCTAAAAAACTTCCTCTCTTGTGAACCATCGATCTTCCTTAGAATCCGTGCGATGCTTGAACCGCACGTACCCTATACTCCCTCATAGGTTTAGGCGGTCTTCCTCGGCCAGCTGGCTTGGGAACAGGCATGTCTCTATGTTCTAGAATATCGTCGACGTCCATGTGACCATCCATGGTTGGGGCCAGCGTTGATCTCCTTGACGGGAATTGCTATGTCTCAGCGAAAGGTGCAAGCTTTGAGGCGTGAAACACAGGCCTGGGTAAGTGTGTAGGTGACCAGGGATTTGAATCACGTACGAGGGACTACCCAAATCACTACCCACAATGTCTAAGACTTCCCAGGGACCGAGGTACTGAGGCATTAGTTTTCGAGAGATGCCAAACTCCTGTCCCAACTCACTAGCCTTGACCCAAACACGTTCCCCTACCTTAAATGTGGACTGTCGGCGATGTTTGTTCTCAGAAGCAATCATTATTTGTTGAGATTTCTTGATATGCTTGACAGCTATGTGACACGGCTGCTGCGGCCGAAAAAGTCGGACGCGGCCGTGGCCGATAAGGCCCAATCTGAAGCCTGTTTTTTTTATATTTTGTTTTTACCCCTAAAAATACATTAAATATATATATCGTCACAAAAAATATATATATATATATAGGGATGTAGGGCTTGGAAAACCCTACAATCCTATGTTTTTTATTTCAGAATCCCACTTTGTTTAAACCACTAGTACCTTTGCCGCGTGGGAAAATAGCGGGCCTCGGGTGGGCCTCCGACCTGTTCAGATGGCTGAAACGAAACGACCGCCGCTGATCAGATTTATCAATGGCAGCCGATCAGATATATCAATGGCAGCCGTCGTCGGGCCCAGCCTCCGAATTTTCAAGGGTTTGGAAAAACTGCCAGGTTTCCCTAATTTGCCAACACTGGCGGAGGTACTAGTGGTTTAAGATTTTTTATAAAATGAAAAATGAAATTCGACAGTTACACCCCGAGGTCGGCTGCTTACAGACAAAGAGACACGAGCGACCATGGACGGGACACGATTTTGTTAGGTCGCACTGATTGGCCATAGAGCGAGACGACACAGGTGACATCTGCGAGYGCGGGTCGTYAGCCGGGTTTGAGAGGGGTATCYACGAGCGGGGGTCRTCRAGATGTTGTGGCGTCRRGGTTTGGCGACAGAGGCGGGGATAGTGGCGRCATTCGTGGCGGACGTGAGGGCACGCGCGATGCCGATGCAGAGGCGGTGCGGCGGTTCACAAAAAAAATGAACACCACTCTTTAGTGGTCGTCCCGTTCACCGTGAACGGCCGTTCACAAAAAAAACACCAAATGAACGACTGGTCACGTTCACGGGATCGRCACTGCTGCTGACCCTCAYGAGTACGGTCCMAGTGGCGATGCAGCCCTAGCTGCATCTTCTCAGAGATTATCATYGTCTCGACTCCATCTTCATCAGAGACTGTTGGCACTGGGCTTCTTCCTCATCATCTGAGTGGCAATTGGCTCTGGGACCCTGTTTCATACCCTGCGCAGGCCACTGAGTTGGATGCCAGGGTGGCGCTGGGTATTGCCTGAGGTTCTGGTGCTATTGTTAGCTGTTCAGAGTGTGTGGGGTTGAGGCGCTACCCTTCTGGGGAGCTTGAGGTCGATGGAGTTATGCCGAGGGTGGAAGGCATAACCAGATCGTCCAACGTAGTGGGCACCGGGGTGGCGACCCTGTAACCTGTTTAGGGGTTTGCCGTTAAAGGAATTGTCGAGGGAGGAAGGCACTTCCTGTCCGACAGAACTAGGTTGGTCAGTACTGGGGCGCACGGGAGAGCTGGCGGCGAGGTTGGCGGTGGGATATGGTGGCGCGCGGTTGGAGATGGGAGGTGTTGGGCAGTGACGGGGAACAACCACGGGAGGTAAGGTAGAGGGGAGGAGGGTGGGGCAGATGGGCAGGGGGGTGTGGAGTCGCTGGACTAGGTTAGGGCTTGTCGTCCTCGTTTTTTGAAAATCCTTCCCTCTTCCTCAATAGTATGGTATGGGTATAGCTTAGGTGGTTTTGAACCCCCTGTGGCGACTCGTCAACAGGTTTGGCGAGGGGGTGCCACACTGTTTTCAATTCCCTTCGGGGATTGAAGATGGTCGTTCATGTCTTTGGTGCTTGCTTTGCTTTGAGCCTATATGCTAGCAATGGGAGGAAGGAAGTTTTTCCTTCCCCAAAGACGCAGGGGTAGGGTTTGAGGGGTGTGAGGTAAGTGGCTTGGTTGAGGAAGAAGGGATGGGAGACTGCTTTATATTGGATTAGGATTCAACCCACGCGTGACTTGGCAGTCTTATAATTCGAGATCTACTAATAATGTTCTGATACCCAAGCTTTTCATTCTGAGGTTGACTTTTTATTGATGATTTCAATTCATGATTCTTGATTTTTCTTGATAATCATAAATCAGAATTTTGGCTCTGTTTTAGCTTTTCGACGGACTCGTGAGTAATAATTCAAGTTAATTTTCGTACATCAGAGTTTTAGCTCTGGTCTCACTGCTAATATCGATGGATGAATGCATTTTTTCTTAAGTATCAACTCTATGATTTGTATTTTTAAAAAAAAATCAAAATAATTCTTGATTTGATCTCGTTCAATTTGTTGATCGTAAATCAGAGTTTTGACACTGATCTCAAAAAATGATTCCCAACTGTTTAGCTTCTGAACGGACTCGTGAGTAATAATTCAAGTTGATTTTCGTACATCAGAGTTTTAGCTCTGGTCTCACTGCTGATATCGATTAATGAAAGCATTTTTTCTTCTGAAGTTTTGACTCAATCATTGCTGAAGTGCTAGGATTTCGCCCTGCCTAAGAGTGGTATTCTWGTATCTTGTTGTTGCACTGGTCGCGTGCGATATACGTTGATTAGGTTGGTGAAGTTTTTTTTTTTCTCTCTCCAGCTTACCCCTCCATGTTGGGG